CCGCCGATGACACCGCCAACACCCTCAAGAACGTTGCCGATGATGCGACCCTTGCTGCGCTGGGGCTCGCGCTTCTGGGGTGGTTGCTGGCCCTGGACAGCTCCACCGATTTGTACGATATCAGCGAAAGCACCAAGACCATCACCGAGACCCTCGATGACCCTGCCAATGCTGTGGCCACGGTTGCGCTGAGGCTCGCGCTTCTGGGGTGGCTGCTGGCCCTGGACAGCTCCACCGATAGAGATGACATCGGCGAGGGCACCGAGACCATCACCGAGTCCCTCGATGGCTTTGCCAATGTTGTGGCCACGGTTGCGCTGAGGATCGCGCTTCTCGTACTCAATCGCTGGCGCCAACAAGCCCACTGTCGAGTGTTCCGCATCAATGCTATTGACTTTGTCATCGGCGACTAGTGAAAGATCCCTCTTTGCAGCTGGCTGAGAGTCTTGCGGAGCGAGGGTAAGCAGATCTCCGGCGATTCCAATACCCTCGCCAAAGCCTTTGAAAAAGTTGCCAATGCGACGACCGCGCTGAGGGTCTCTCTTCTCATTCTGGACTTCGGGGAGGTCGTCGTCAGCGGACTCACTGGCTACTATTGGTTGGCCGAGATCGTCCACAACTGTGAGGCCTCTCTTCTGGTTCTGGCCTTGGAGAGCTCCTCCAATAACGCCTAGGTCTCCGACAATCCCAACACCCTCGCCAAAGCCCTTGATAAAGTTGCCAATGCGACGGCCGCGCTGAGGGTCTCTCTTCTCGTTTTGGCCTTCTGGGAGGTCGTAGTCGTAGTCAGCAGACTCACGGGCCACTACTGGCTGACCGTGCTCGTCCACAACTGTAAGGCCCCTCTTCTGGTTCTGGCCCTGTGCAGCGCCGCCGATTGTGAGGAAATCCGCAACAGCACCGACACCACCAGCGACTCCCTCAGCGATGTTGCCAATGATACGGCCTTTGCTGCGCTGAGGATCGCGCTTCTCATTCTGTCCCTCGGCGAGGTCGTAGTCAGCGGGTTCACTGACCACTACTGGTTGACCGAGATCATCCACGACCGTAAGGCCTCTCTTCTGATTCTGACCCTGAACAGCTCCGCCGATAGTGAGGAAATCTGCGGCAGCGCCAATGGCTCCACCAATTCCCTCGCCGATGTTGCCAATGATACGGCCCTTGCTGCGCTGAGGATCGCGCTTCTGGTTCTGAGGCTGGCCCTGGACAGCACCGCCAATTGTGATCAGATCTGCTGCACCACCAATGACTTCACCAATTCCCTCGCCGATGTTGCCAATGAGACGGCCACGGCTGCGTTGAGGATCACGCTTCTGGTTTTGACCCTGGACAGCGCCGCCGATAGTGAGCAAATCTGCGACAGCACCGACACCGCCAGCAATTCCTTCACCAATGTTGCCAATGATGCGGCCCTTGCTGCGCTGAGGATCACGCTTCTGGGGCTGGCCCTGGACCGCGCCGCCGATAGTAAGCAAGTCGGCAGCACCGCCAATAGCTCCACTGATTCCCTCGATGACGTTGCCAATCTTGTGGCCACGGCTGCGCTGAGGATCACGCTTGTCAACCAATTGGTGAATGGCATCACCCCTAATGCTGTTAAACTAATGCCTTGTAATGTTTGCTATAGAGGACTTACTGCTCAGGCTTGTATTGAAGATCATCAATGGTTAGAAGCCTGGAGGAGGGGTTGATGCCAACAGAGGGGTTGAGCGGCGCGCCGTTGACAGCCATGCCGGCAGTGAAGGCCAAGATGACAGCGATAGTGGAGGAATGCATATTGAAGGAGTGCGTGGGGTTTGGTAGGAGTGAAGTTGGGTAAAAAGACCGGCTTGAAGTTGCGAATTCGACTTTCGAAGTGAATTTGAAAAGTGAGTGATCGTCAACCTGCGAGACCGAGAAAGAATGGAAGTGATGATAGATCGAGTGATGCTGATCTGATGATTTGCAAATGATGCGCAACTGCCTATCTTTATACCACTCGAGATGCGATACCTCTTGAAAACACAAACACCAGGCTTGAATGCCAAGTTGTTACTACAGTATCAACGATACAGATACCAAGACAGGAGCATAAACACGAGAAACATCAGAGTCCCTTAGCATAGACGTTACTCGTCTAGCATTCACAGCGCACGGCCTAGGTAGCTGTCAGCGACTATACTCTAATTTGCACACGCTAACAACTAGCTAGGACAAACATATCGAGCATGAAGAGTTCTGTTGCGCAAGCATGGACAGTTGCGGCACGTGAGCATGAATGGTTCACTCAAGAGTAAACAGTTGGTATGGGTGTCACGTGTTTCAAAGCCTTCTCGAAGACTATGCGTTGACTTTAGCTTTGTCTGGGCACTCTAAACCAGTCTTAAACAGGTAGTGTCACAATGTGTAGCTACTCAGAACCCAAACTGTGCTAATTATGCGGTATACTGTATCTTTTGGCGCCATGTAGCGTAATAGAGCCGAACCGCTCCCGCGTGAGTTAGCGTCGTGTTACACATGCCTTGATCAAACAGTTTCACTACTAAATTTAGTTTACCCCGTAAAGAATCCATGAGAATACACAGAGTGCGCTATACCATAGTATCGCTGTCTAGGCCCTCTTCCTCTTCCCTTTTCCCCACAATACTGCTTACCTCAACACTAAAAGTCATGTACCAAGGCCCATCATGCGCTGCCCCCGTCCCCCAAGATGCCGTTTGATCGACAGCAGCGGAGCATTGCTTAGCATACCTTAGAATCAGGGGGCTTTCAAAAACAGTTTCCTCTTCGAGAGAACCTGCAGCTCGCAGGATCAATACACTATCTACTGTGTGGAGCAAAAACATCATCGCGACTGAAACTCGCCAGAAACCACCACACGAACATCGATGATACTATTACTCACGAAAAAGCCATGCCAAAACTAACCGCAACACCACGATGTCTCTACTAAGAAATATTCGGTCTTACAGTATCAGCCCAGTGAAACACGTGCAAGGCACGTGCAACACCGCTGGCTCTCAAAGGCATTGGCGACGCCTAACGTCAAACCAGCAAAGACCCTCTTGGCAACTACACCAGAGCAAACAGGCCTAGTATACCTTTAACCTATTCTTTTCTTGCAAGCGTCTGTGCAACAAGCCCTAAGAAGGCCTCAGCGCTATGATCACGCCTTTTTTCTGAAACTGAGGGGGTGAGAGTATGTGCGCGCATGCGGCTCAAAGCGCAAGGCGTGAGCACTGTCCCTTTTCTTTTCTTAACTCCCCTCTATCTATCTTTTCTTGGGTGCGGGGGGTGGGGTGGGGGTGCGTTTGGAAGGCATGAATGGGGGAGTTAGATCACATGCAGAATATAGTAACAAGACATCCTTTTTTTGTCTACCTGAGGAGGTGGGGGTGGTAAGAGGGCTTGGTGTGGTTTGTGTTTGACGGGTTGCCAGAAACATTTGGTGGGTTAAAGCGATGACGGTGGATTGTGGGTCAGCAATAGTTGAGGTCGATATAGAAGGGACCGAAATAGATCTTCAAGAAGGCTAGGGCGCATGGGGTCTGGGGGCGATAACGGAGAGAGACTGGTCGAGGCTTTTGAGGCTCTTGCGCGGATCTTGCACATTGAGGCGTGGAGGTGTGACGGGGGAGATGTGTGCGGAGGTGTATACAATACGTTTTTCGATTCAACGGACCGTAACCAAACGAGATCAGATGAAGCGGCATGTGTGTAAAACGACGACACTCTGTGTCGACCTGGTTTGCGTCTGAACATATTACAGCAGCACCTTGATCCGAAACGAAGACGAATATCTCACCGCGAACTGTCGCTGTTTGACTTGGATCTGTCAAAACACGTGATGAAAACTGTTAGAAGAGGCAGGAGCAATGCTGGCGCCAAACAGATGTATAGGTGTTGCACGTGTCTGACACGATGCAACGTGGAAGACTCGTTCTAGGGGAGCGATGGCGCAAACTTTGTGCCAGCTGTCAGATTATAGTCTGTGACGAGCGTGATGCCGCTACAGACAGAACGCCAATTCCATGAACCAGATTATTGTCTAGTGACTTGTATGGCACTTGTCTCGGCAATGTGACAAAGTAATAATGTGTGGTTTGGCTTCTGATGTCATTGCTCCTGAGGCAGAGATGCTGAGTTGCTTAGAAACTATGACTGACCGTGAACACAGTGATTTTTCTGAAATATCATACGCATTTTCTGAAGAGATATGCCAGCAAAAGATCCCAAAAAAACAATGAAGAGTTATTTGTGTAACCGGTCGATGATGGAACAGAACTTTATAGTAAATGCAGTACCCGTCAAAATAATGACACTGCTCACAACTGGCTTCCCGCACTACAGCGCATCAAAAACCACTCATTTCTTAATACAGACGCTTGAAATACATATGTAGAAACATGTATTTTTTTGATACCGGATTCCGGCAGATTGGGGTGCGTCTGCCATTCATTTCTGAGAAAAGTAATCTGATATGCTATATGAAAAACAGATGGAGACAACTCAACCCAAGTCATAATCGAAACAGAAACAAGAAATCAAGTAGCAAAAATTTCACCATGATAATATTACGTGTTGCTCATGTCGTTACTGTACAATGCATCCCACTGACATTGCCCTGTGTTGGTGGTGACAGTTTTTCCTCCAGCATAATATTCCACCAAGAATCAACACACCACACATACACCACAGGCTTTCAAATTACAATGACTGAATTATTATGTCCAAGAAAGAAAAGAAAAAAACTCTTCTTTGAAATCACTTGAGATAAAGAACAGAAGCAACAACATTTCAAAAAAAAAGAAGAATTCTGAATCTGTATTCCCTAGCTACAGGTTCGAAATAAAAAAGTGTCTGCTTAACAAAAGAAACCGGCAATCCTACACCTTCTCCTTCTCATCGCCAACAACATGCACCTCAACCGGCTCCACTGTAATCTCGTCTGTCGAGAAAGTCCTGGACCGCCTAAACACAGCGTCCTCAAGCGACTCATACACACGTGTACCTTTCCTGTCCGCATCCTCACCACCAACACCCGGGGTATCACGCAACGTCCATCCAAACCGGGCAAAGCGCTCGCGCACCCGCTCGTTCAAGCCTACAAGTCTAAACTGTGTGTTCTTACCGCCAAACGCCTCGATATCAGCCTTGAGATCTTTGAGCGCAGTCAGACCAGTAGTGTCAATGTTGTGCATGGCGCGCATGTCGATGACGACGTTGCGGATTTGGACAGGCTCATCGATAATGTCTGCTTTGGAGCGGAGACGTGCAGCGCGGTCTTTGCCAGCGACACTCCAGTTGCGGTTTGCGTGCGCAGCTTCCAGTGTTGCAACATCGCCTGAGTTGTATGTTTGGATGTTGTCGAGGCACTGGTTCTTGATGTGGTATGCATTGTAGAAGAGCATCGATTGGTGGATACGGAAGACTTGGGTGTCCATGGGGACGGCATGTGTACCTGGTATACGCGCGTTGGATTCTACAGCGATGGACGTGACGCGGCGGACGCGGTGGAAGGCCATGAAGAGGAGGTGGTAGACAATGTTGAAGCCGACCGCCGTGCCGATGCCAACTTCGGATGAGACGAAGAGGGTGAGCCAGAAGGCGAGCATGGAGGTGATGAAGTCGACTAGAGAGGTGCGCCAGTAGCCGTAGAAAACTCTGACAGGGACTACAATGTGCCATACTGCTGTGACGATGATGGCTGCTAGTGTGGCCTTGGGGATCCAATATAGTGCTGGCGAAAGCTTGAAGATGCTCAGGATGACTACGCCACCAGCGACTAGACCGTAGGCAGGTGACTTGACCCCGGACTCAGAGTTGACTGCAGTCCGTGACATGGCGCCTCCGACAGACATGGATGAAAAAAACGAGTTGAAGAAGTTGGCGAAGCCAAGGTAGACAAGCTCTTGGGCAGCATCGGTTACATACCCGTTCTTTCGACCGAATGCCTTGGCGATGGCTAGATGTTCGAGCGCCGCAGCTATAAAGGGGGCAATGGAACGAGCAAATACTTTGCTGATGAGAGCTGAGTCGGGCATGCGGGGCGTTGCGATGCCATCGGACTTGACCTTGCTGAGCGCCCAAATAGGATCATCCTTGTCCTTGTTGACAGCGTATGAGATGCCCGTGAAAAGAACAAGGACAACAGCACTGCGTCCAAGTGCTAGTAGCCAGATGACCTTGCTCTTCTTTCCCCAGCGCTGGCCCATCTTCTGCATGAGATAGAGCAGCAATATCCCACCAAGACCAACTCCACAAGTAGGGCCATCGTATTTGGGTATCTTAGCGAAGAGGTCGTGTATGATGTTGGCTGTGCCAGAGCCGACCGAGATTCCGAATAGAGATGGAATCTGACCAAGCATAATGACAATGGCTGCCGCCGAGATGAAGCCGCTCAAAACTGGTACAGATATAAACTCCAGCAGGAATCCCAATTTCAGCAAGCCAAGCGCCATAGAGTATATACCAACAGACATGGCGACGGCTGACGCAATGGCCTGTGGACTGTATCCGTCTTTCGAAATGTCTTCGATAATCTCGGCAGTCAACAGACCCATAAGTGATGTCGGGCCAGTTGAGAGATCTGAGATTGCTGTTAGTCTAAGAACTTCACAAGAACGAGTGTAGTACCTTTTGAAGTGCCCATGATAAGGTAGAGGAAGTTGGGTAGCCAACTCGACATAAGACCATACTGCCCTGGAATTGTGGCAATCTTTGCGTACGCAAGTGACTGGGGGATAAGCAGTACACCGACTGTGATTCCAGCCAGAGTGTCGTTGAAAAACCATCTC